ATTGCATTTAGTACCTTGTTCCACTTTCAGTCCAGAGGCTATATAAAGCTTGATCGTTAACCAAGTCTGTGGAAAAGCTAGTTTCTGCAATAATAATTATTATGGAAATTGTTTATCGTGATTGCGACAAACGCATTGCCACGGTGTATCGATGCTTACTGAGCTTTGTACTACTTGCTGCATTGCAGATTCAAATCCCAACCACTTCTTTAGTGTAAATATTTTTTTTGACTGCGTATTTGAAATATTTTTAATGAATACAAGAAGTTTTATGCTAAGATATGTTAACAATAGGCAACCATTTAAATGCTTGGCGGCCTGAAATATTTTTGGTACAAGAAGTTATGCTTGATATGTTAACTAGGCAACCATAAAGCTTGGTGAAAACTAGTGGCAATCGTAAAATCTGTGTGTAATTTTAATATAAAAACTCATCATTAGAAATAAGAAAGATGATATTTTATAATATTTGTTTTATGCAGACGGTTCACCTAATGTTAAGAGAATACCGCCGTCCATGGACATCTGCTACACCCGAGGGTTGCAGATGCGTTGACAACCTTTTGAAAATTGGGCGATAGTAACGTAACTTCTAAAATAAAAAGTATTTTGCACTTTTATCGCAATCATAGTAATTTAATAATACTGAATTAAACGCATGGAAAATTTTATGTATAATAAAAACGAAATAAACGTGATAAATTTCGAAACATTTTTATCAAAGCAATTTAGTGTATTAATTAACTTTAATTGATTATATTATGCGGGTCATACTGAGATAAGCCTGTAACAAATATTGAATTTAATATTTGTTGTAATGAATATATATTAAAGCAATAACTTTTAAAAGCACCGCAAGCGTTATCTTTGACTTTCAAGTGCTCATAGGTCAATGACTTGTTTAAGAATGTACGCGTAATATCTGTATCTCCGTGAAAAAAAAAATCTAGTTCGACCCGTTTCAAATATCATTCGGTTTAAGTTGGAGCCAGTTCAAAAGCGGCGGTGTGGTGCTGCGCAGAACGTGATTCAGATGCCAGAGAGAGAAAAACTGGCCAAGTGCGAGGCGGACTCGTGTACGACGAGTTCCGTATCATTGTCTATAAAAACGGCAAAAAAATAATATCTGTTATGTGGGAGACCCACTAAAATATGTTTTATTCTATTTTCAGTATTTGTTGTTATAGCGGCAACAGAAATACATCATCTGTGAGAATTACAACTGACTAACTATGACGGTTCATGAGATTACAGCTTGGTGACAGACGGACGGACAGACAGGCAGACAGCGGAGTCTTAGTAACAGGGTCCCGTTTTACCCTTTGGGTGCGGAACCCTAAAAAATGACAAGTGAACGAACAAGTGGAGGGAGATGCCGTAAGATAGGTGCATGTATGAGAGCTCACTCAATATTGAGCTCATAGTTCAATATTCGGGTGCTCGCTCTTAATTCAATATGCTCGTGGAATCTGAGTTGAAATCCTGTTGCCGGCACCAAAGCACTTGATACTTTCACGTGATCACGTTATCAGCGGCGAAGGAAAAATCGTGATAAACATGCATTGGAAATAACAATAAAAAAATATTTGAAGATATGTTAAATCTGCTAGTCCACGGTGGGGTCGCATGGTGGACTATGACCTAATACCCTATGTAACGAGGAGCGTTTGCCCACTGTTGGGACATATAAAGGCTGAACCTACATAATACATAAATACTAATTATAATGAATTAATAAAATATCACGTGCTCAGTGGTGAAGGAAAACATCGTGAGGAAACCTGCCTATTTTCGAAATTATAACAAAAAAAATATTTCGAAGATATGTGAAGTCCGCCAATCAGCAGTGGGCCCGCGTGGTGGACTATGCCCTGATAACCTCTGTACGGAGGAGGCCTTAGCCCAGCAGTGGGACATGTATAGGCTGATACTTTAATAAAATATGAATCATATTATATAAGTTCACAACAGAAAAAGTTGTAACATATACGTTATCGATACTATTGATCATCAGTTAACACCGCCGCCTAAAAATCTAGAATATTAACGCTGCAATAATTTTTAACCGTCCTTTTGTTGAATGTACGGAACCCAAAAAGCGTGGCGTTCGCCAGTGAACTTTTTGAAAGTATTAATAGCTGCGGCGCTTTGGTGCTAATTGAATGTTGCGATAACGATCCGAGAGATCTGAATGCGTGTACGTACGTACGGTCGCTTTAAAATGTTTTAAAAAGCGAGGCCGTGTTTGTCAATGGTAATGAAACGCGTTTCGTAATTAATTTTTTTTGGTTTTTTTTTTTCTCTTTATATTTTTTTTCTTCATTTGAATTGTTTACGACCAGTTCTAGCATGACTGGCGCTTATACGAACGTAGAAATATTCGCATTCGCCTGTTGTTTTTTTGGTTAACTGTTAAGGAAAATGCAAACTGAATTGCAAATAGATTGGATGACAAATTTACTTTTTTCAATTAAACGTGATTTCGATTCTATTATGAAGAAAACTTTTTGCATGCGTATTACTATCACATTCGCTGACTACAACTTAAATTAAATTGTAAAAGTTGATACTTCTGACATGCTTCTAACATTCTATCGCTCAAGAATATTAATGTGTTAACGGTAGTAGAGAATCCACGGCAACGGACTTTGGTTATCTCTTATGGCATCTAGATAATATTATTAATTATTTATAAAAAAAAATCACATACAAACCGAAATCGAATTGACCATGGGCCATTAAAGTTATAGAAAAAAGACCGCAAGACGCGAGTTCGATTCCCGCAGTGCAAAAACTTTCCATCCATTTTTTCTACAAATTTTCATGTTTCTTAAAATTTTAAATGACACTGAATAAAGATATTAATTTATGCTCTAGCTACATTAATTAATTTGGGACACGTCAATTGGCCAAATTGCTTCTAAATGATAACCGCGTCAGAATACTCTAATGAATCCGAGTACGTTTAATTTATTACAAGGAAGCTTTCGTGTAAGTGATTATGTCCTACAACAAAAACTGACCAGCCGACTGCACCAGTATTATAATTTAGCATTATTGTTTTAGTTCTTACACGTATTCATATTGTTTTTTCCCTGTTCACGTCAATGTCTCAATGTCTCAACTAGCTTAGATAAAATAAATGGGGAAAGCGTATACGTTGGTCTTCAAATGTAAAACATTTTATATACAGTTATATATAGAGCGTATAACTCCGGAGATTGCAGTTATAACCGAATTACTTACTATTGTTTGTCACTTGTAAGCTTGGCAAAATATGGATGTTACAATTGCTTTCAGTATAGTGTTAATCTATATGATATAAACAGTGTTTCATATACTATAACAGGTTAGAAGTGCCTTACACTTGTTATCACTATACCAAACCATTAAACCAAAGCTCTTAGGCTCTGCTACATACTGGGTTGTTTTTATTATTTTATTACAAACAATATTTAAATTTCCGTTCGAATTTAAACAAGGCCTTATTTAGATAGTTACGCTCCACTTGCGTTCAAAAATGCAATTAGTTTTTAACTCCACTCTTGTTCTAAGGTAAAAATAAAACCGTATTTTTTTTGATAAATATGCGGAAGTGTGTGTTATTGTCGTGTTTCACATACAATGGTGAAATGAATTAAGTGCGTAACACGTATTCATATTAAGAGATATTTTTCAAGCATTTTACCTTTTATTCTCATCAAATGTAAATACATTGACATCTTGATTTTACGCGAATAAAAAACGCGATAAAATAAAAATTAAAAACGCGGTAAAATCCGTAAGCTAGTATCATTTAAAATATAAATATTATATTTTTATAAAGCTCTTGAAAGCGACAAGGTTCTAAGGTCGTTTTCGTTTTTAACAATATCCTTCTTCTTTCTCTTTATCCTGCTCTTAATTATACCAATTGGCTAGGTATTTTATGGTTCGGAGCCTGTATGAGCTAACCGTCCTCGAAAACAAACCTGTGGGTCATAAATAGGCGTTCCGTGTGGTAGTTGAACCCACGACCCTAGGTGCCAATGCCGATAGCTTAGTAGTTGCGTCATCGAATCCTGAGATCTTTTTACTTGTTTATAAATCGAACAAAAATTAAAACTTTATTTATGATAAAATAATAAAAATTACTCATTATCCAGATTGTAACAATATTGATATAATATATTAAACGCCCCGTACTCTTTGATTTTGCAGCTTTCAGCTCTGGATTATTGCAATGTTTAATATTAAATTGTCTTGCATAGCAACATCGTATCTACATGTTATATGTACATAGTAATCAATGTTTTGATGTGTTGCTGTCAGATGTTGACATTTCAAAGGTTAAGAGAATAAGGAATCAATTACTTAGATAGAAATATAATTGAAGCAAAACGTTCAAAGGTGAGGTATAAGGCAAATATATAATAAATATAAAACTAAAACAAAACATTTATTGTATGAACTTTAACTGATTACAATTGAGTTATTGTAAATGATAATAGTTCATCATAATTACATACAGTGAAGTATTTACTGCAACGTCGAAGTTCAAAGGGATAGTTTTAGGTGGTGGATATTTTGAAAAGAAATCAATTATACATGATAAACGTGTACGCTTACTCAAGGAGCACTTGCAGTTCTGATACATGATCTGTTTAGAATCAACGTAATAATTGCTGACACTTATATTTATTTATACAAATTAATTTAAAACCTATCGGAGAGATAAAATCTTTACCCACTAGATTAAACATATGGCTCTTTTAAGAAGACACTAAAGTCGTACATATAAAAAATGCATAAAGTACTATTTTACCGAGGGCTTAAGCTTTAGGGATACTAATCCATTTAATTTATAAATGTTTATGATTGATCTTTACCACAATGTATCAATGCAACTTTAATAAATATGGCTAACAAACAAAAGTTCACACATGAAATATTCATCGCCACATGATGGAGTGCATACGAAACAGTTATTTTAAGTAAACACAAAATAAAAAAATGCATACCTGTCTAAAAAAGTTAGGCACCTCCTCGGGCCTCTCGAACATGGTGTCTTGAGGTGAATGTATGTAGAACATTCTGCCAACCCCCTTCACGTGGCTCGTCACCAACTGTGCCAGGCCATTATCCATGGTGGCATTGGCGTATGACATGTCAACTGCCATTTTGACAAAGAATACGAAGGATGTCTGTAACAAAAAAAAAACATTTTCTAAAGTTGCTAAAGTTGCTGGAAAGATATCGGTGGTGATTGCCAACATGTTAAAGTATTTGGTTTGTTTGTTATTTTATCCAAAATATATACATATGCGGTGGAAGTCTGGGAGCTGAGAAATAAATAAAAAATCCCACTATTCTAGGGTTTGTAATCCCACCCAAATAGTAACAATACAAAACTATCGTATGAATTTATGTAATAATAAATAATATATAGGTAAGTAATAGTTGTAAATATGATAAGGTAAAGGCGCGATGTGACTGGCATGCGCACTACGCCAAAGTTCCTCAAAAATAAAGATTAAAAAGAAAAAAAAATCTCAATAAATAATCGTCACCCAGCGCATCAAAATAATGTTATTTTGCAACGAAAGGCACATACTTCAAAATTATTCCTGAAACATGCTTCTAATCTTATCAGGATGTCAACGTCATGTCAATTAATGTACACAACATCAATCGTCAATAATCGAATAGTATTAGTATCATAGCAGGTAAACATCACGCTGGATATATCATGCAAAGAATATCTTTCATTTAAATTCCAATATCTTTATTCAACCTAGGAGCATTACACTCACTTATTGATAGTCAAAATGCTACCACCGGTTCGGAAAAGAAAGCCACTGACCTGAGAAGAACCGGTGAAAGAAACTCAGCGGGCTACTTTTTTCCCCCATTTTTTGATATACATTGTGTGACATGAATATATTAAATACGATATAAAAAGTCCGATTGAAAGAGCCTGAAGCGATAATAAATTACCAGTGTGTTATCATTTACATAATCGAATGATTATGTAAATGATAACACACTGGTATATGAATATATCATATATTATATGATATGGATATATGGATATATGAATATATTATAACAGCCTTTAACACACAAACATTCTTTTACATTTTTTTTAAAATTTAGCTATTGATACATTTTGAACTTTTTCTAGGATTTTTTTGTTTGTCCCATAAAATATTTATTTTATGCAGTCTACAACTGGGTAGAATAAATTTCTTTGTTCCTAGTATTTATATCATGAACACTATTATTTATTGAAAATTCTATCTTACTTTTATGGACATACATAAACATTTTCAAGGATATACTGAGAAGCAACAGACAATACCCTTATCTCTTTATACAAATTTCTTAGCAATTATTTGGGGCCCAAATTATAAACTGCACGAATAACTGTCCTTTGGGTTTTCTGTATTTATATCAGCCGCGTTACCCCAAAGTAGAATGCCATAAGACATTATACTGTGGAAATAACTAAAATATACTATACTTATATAAATCGATCCTCGTTTACTCAGGAAAAATGATTATATTTGTCATTCATATTTCTCATGTACAGCTATCGTTTCAGCAACTGACATAGATAATAAAAAACACCTTCATTCAACTTTCAAATGTGGAACTCGAAAGTTTTCAATGCTGTGACTGGTCGGTTCTCCTTGAGAGCTGACTTTTGCTCTGAATATTTGATATAGATTTCGTAACTAAAAGTATTTTTAGTCAACCAGGCTTAATTTCTGACGAACAAGTACATAAAAGTCCCCCTGTTCAATAGCTTTGTTGTAAACAAATGTTAAGTTTATGAGTTTGTTGGACACGGAAGCTAAAGTTTTATGTATAAAGATGATAACAATAATATTTTGGACGTAATACGTTTACACAACGTCCGTCGTTATCTAGTCCCAAAGTAAGCAAAGCTAAATAGTCGATAAGCGCACGTAAATATATTTCTCTTTTAAAAAATTAAATTTTGTTGTGCTAATCTCTGCACTTAAGATTAAACAAAAAAAAATTGTATGAATAAATACATACAGATAAAATACTATCATCGTCAATACAGCCTGTTAATATCCGTAAAAAGTTTAGCTGAACATAGTAAAAAGCACGATCCCGAGCCCTATGCCATTGGCTCGTCTCTGAGTAAGAAAGAGGGTGGTTTTATTGTCCTTAATGAGAGTGACAAATTGCAAGCGTGCGTGTTTCCATCCGTATACAATTCAATTGTACAAATGTTCATACATTGGATATGTTTATACGCTCTATTTTATCAATTAGCTTTGAACTAAAACGTTTGTTTGAAATTATCGGTTAAGAGGTCAAAAGCATAAACGTGACTAGAACTGAGGTCAGTAGTCGATTATTATTGTAGTAATAAAATGTTGCGATTTAGTAAAGTATTTACTGGATACTCATTAAGTATTCATGAATTCAAATTGCAGTGCCTGTATGTCTAAATATACAAGAATGGCTCACATGTGGTTGGTATTGTTTTTTGAATAAATATAGATAAGTAAATATTTCAGACATTTTCATACAAAGTTATCTAGCTTATACTATGGATACTAGGTAAATGATAACATACTTGAACGTAATTTTCTTCCGTAAATCAATACATATAAAACACATACAAAGACTAGAAAAACAGTATGTTCATCACACAATACTTTTCCAGTAGTAGGGATCGAACCCACACCCTCTGGCGCAAGAGACAGGGTCACTACGACCTTACTAAGGACACGTTTATTTCGCTTTTTTATGTGAGAAGTTAGTAAGTAAGCAGGCGATGAACCTCATGATGTGGTTACCGCCATCCATGGATATCTGCAAGTCTTGGGGTAAAGATACTCCACCAATTTTGAAACAATTTGGCCGGTGACACTCATTAGAGGAAACGCAAAATAATGATTCTTCCACTTGACGCAGGTCTTCTGTGAGACAGTGATACTTCCCGCGATGAGCTACCCATTCGTGCACATATAACATGTACTGGGAAAAACAAAGTATTACTATCCTAAATTGCTCAGTGGCATCATAGCTGTCTTTATCCATCCGGTTTAAGTAAATCTCGAATGCTTGTACAGTTATAATATATACATAAAATGTAAATAGTAACCTGTTTGTGCCTCAGCAATTGAACAACGAGAATCATGTTTATTATTATAATAAATTAATTTAGAGACTAGGTAAGAATTTACCAATGAAAGCGTTGAAAACGATGCCCCGTTTTTTTCTTTCTATGCATAAATTTTTGCAAATGTTACATTCTCCGAAGATTACCATAATTAGTCAAATAAAAACATTTGCATTTTTATTATATTGAATCATATTTTTTAACATCAATACAGTTCGCCAATCCGCAACGGGGCCGCGTGGTAGACTTTGCCCAGATACCCTCTGTACAGAGGAGGCCTTTGCCCAGCAGTGGGACATGTACAGGCTGATACTTCACTTTTTATTTTTACAATGAATAACTTAGATTTTAAGATTTTAAATTGACACGCATCATTAGGATTTCAATATTCCCGCAATATTGTCGATTGCACGTCCTGACAAGGTCACGACTGTCACTGAAAAACATTTCTAAACTTAACATTTACAAACAGACGAACACACAAAACGGCCTTAATTATTCAATAACATTACATAATTCAACAACCGGTTTATAGTTCATTGCTATCAACTAATCACAGAACAACATTACAAACCAAGCGGCGACGTATCGTTCGGATGCAAGTTCATTAGCATAAATTAGAGTTTAGTATCTTGCACGTTTTACACGCTTATCGTAAGATATTGACACGAGATAAAACGTCAATGCCATAACGATACTTAAGTCTCTCGATTCCTAGAGAAAATTACGCACTTTTATACTTACTATATAACCGCTAATTGATATTTTTTGAGTTTTGTCATTAGCGGAATGCAATCATAAGGATCCATTAACTAAATAGAGTTTTTAATTAATAAGGACAGACTGATTGGTTACCAAAATTGTTTTTTTTTAATTTGAACATAATGACGTGAAGTCCCAATAATTAATTCATCCGCTTCGATAAATTAAACAGGGACGATATTAAAAGGGGATATAGAACGCGTTCAATTGAATGAATGATAGCTAAGTGTAGTTATTTTCGAATCTAAAGTGATAATAATGGATCCACACTGAATCATATGAATATAATGGGGTCATAAGTTCTGTCACAGTGACCGGAATAAACAGTAACACTTACACAAAAGTAGTTTAAAATGTTATTTAAATCTTTCGAAATGCCCTCCACGACTTTTAATACCCTCAATCTGTCGTCAATCATAGAACGTACAGCAATCGTTGCGTACTTATTGCCCAATGACTCTTGGAATATCCAATGTCGGTTTTCTAAAATTACATATAGATATAAAATATAGATCATATTAAATTAGCTCGAAGAGTCAGATCTTTATTTAGCACGTCAATTTTCGTAGCTTTTGCTTTTCGTTGGTTAAGCAGCCATAACCGCTTGGCCGCCCTTTTTACGGTCTTAAAAAGAAATCTTCATTAAATCGATAGATAGTACGATATGCAAACTGAAACGCTATTTCTGAACTATGCAGAAGTTTAACTCGGTTGACGCGTCACCACAGTTCTTTTGTCTCAAACAATTTTTTTTGCAGAATTTAAGACCCGACTAATTGCGAATTATTTAAAATCGTATATAGATATTGATTGACTACTGTAAATGTAATACGGTTTGTGACAGAAAGAGATCTATCTTAGCAATATCAACAATCTTTTTTTAGGAGTCATTTCAATTCATACAAGATTAACGGAACTACCGGTAATCTTGTATGCTATAATGAATTAATCATTAGAACTCATCATTATTTCTGTCACACACTTTCCGTAAAAATAAAAATCTTATTAAGATGTTTAGAAGTAAATTTAAATTATCTTATGGTTCGAGAGACTTCTTAACTGAAAACTTTGAGTTTCAATGCTTGTCACACTTTGGTCCGCTTGGGATTCCATAGATTATATCATTGAATCTAGATATTTGAAATAATGATTTAAGTGAATTGGGCTTTTTTTCAATAATTGGGACCTGTGCCTAATGCCTTATAAAGAAATTAGGAATTCACCCCCGCATAGGCCATTAAATCCTTAACGTCGTAATTATCGTGATCAAATACAATAGAATCCGTAATGCCATCGCACAAAACCATAGAGAATTGGCATTTTCGATTACCTTTTATTAAAGCCATCATGTGTACAATATTTACGGCCTTAAATCAATTCCTCTCATTAATACAAGGTTTTAAGATAAGATTCGTATTTCAATTTAAACATGTGCCTTGTACAGAACATTCTGGTGTATTTCCACTATCGTTATATAAATAATAATTAACTCAGTATCGACGTTGTGGGGGTTTATCGCATTATTTACAGTTGTAAAAACAAATTAAATGTTTGCTTGTGTTTTATTGAGCTGTGGCATTAAACGTAATATGAGTTACTTTGTCGCGTTATCACATTGGGTCCTTAACCCGTTTCTGCGTGCATAGTGTAACGAAGCCTTACGTGCTGTTCAATGTACAAGTAAACAGCAATATTAAATACGATTCTATTACAACAATCCGCTAGCCAGTTCAAAACTTATTTCGTACTGACAAATCGATATAGGCATTCGACGTTCTGTCAGCTTTATAAGTTTTATGTTATCAATATTGTTGTCTTCTTTAGTTTTAGTCAATTTCGATTACGATTCAGCGTCATCCTTGTGAAATCATTTCATATATTTACGGGAATATCATCCGGTTTTGAGTAAAACTATTTCATTGATTTTATCGCGTTTTTAACTTTGCTTTTGATTCCCGAATTCGTTTATGATCACAGTACGAACTGCTTGGCCGGAACACAAAAATTTTAAATTATTATTTATCAATCAATCTATATTACAGTCTCTATGGAACATTTCTAGAATCCTTCAAAGGTTTAAATGTAAGGCTACATTCTCACTGAATCCTACACGAAACTATTTTTTTTCTTATTGCATGATGTACTAAAATAATGGAACTCGTAGTAGCTTAAAGTTTTTATTGATATGACACTTTTAGTACCATCCATGAAAATTATGACAACTACGCAAGGTATGATTTCCAGTTATCTTTCAAAAAGTGTAAGTCAAATCGTCTATAAATTTGAATATATAATACAAAATATTGTAATGTACTTTCTATTTAGGTTTAAGAGTAATGAAAGGTATGAATGAAATTATCTTGCTTTATTGGGTCATAAGGAAATAGGAAGTCCGGAACAACATGACATTGATGTAGTTTGTAGTTTATTGATATATGTATATTATGATATTATATACCCTTATTACGTCGCACTTAAACGTAATGTGATACATTTGTATACGCAAAACATAAATGTATCTCTGTCTCTCATTTAGTAAAAGCAAGTTAAGATCTTGTGACAATCTTTGAAATCCTTAACGAAATTGTAACTTTAAAATAATAGTAAAACATTAGTGTTCTTTAAATAATTTTTATACTATGCGATTGTAAATACATACTTAAACGTAAAAATAAAATGCAGTTATCAAGATATTAGAAAACTTGTATAAGAAATAAAAAGTCATAATTATGTCTTGAATTGGTACAGAACATGATATTAAATATCACTGTCAATAATTCTTATTACATAAATTAAACTGTAGAAATAAATTGAAGTAATAAAAAGAGTTAAGGAATATAAGAGAAATAGAAAATAACTAATACCGATACCAAATACATAAAATGGACCGACACTTGCAAACACATAATGTTAAATGACACATGAAATAATGATATATACATAAAATCAATTGGAAAGGAATTCAGATAAAAAAATATACGGGAAATAGAAAAGAACTTACGAAATTAAAAAAAAAATGGAGTGCGACTTGGTAAACAAAAACAATGTCTCCGATTGCCGGTTTCACATGTTTCAAAGGAAGTGTCAACACAGAAAAATTCACAACGCGTCCACGAAACCACGCAACTCCCCAGAGGCAGTGCAAAGCGATTGTTAGACGGATTGTCTTATACGATTACAATCGTTGCTTCGGATCGCGTTTCGCGTGCGATCAGCTGGCGATGCGAATGCAATGAGTGGCGGCGGCTGTCTCGTATCCGTATAAATAGACCGGCGTCGTACGTAAGGTAGCCGTAAACACTTAAGACCACCTCCGCTGTGTTGCCTCCCGTACCCGCTATTTTTAGTATGTTGTTTTGCGGCGGCGTTTGTTTATGTTCTGTTTGCCTGAATTTTTATGCGCACTATGGCGTTTGAATGTGGCGCGCAATTTTTTTTTACTCTTAAAATTGTCGTGTATACATAATTAACACGTTCGTGTGTACATAAAAACTGCTACATCATTCGTTTTACTTCTCGCTGTGTTGTTAATAAACTTTTTTTAATATTCACAAATAATGATATGTTCTTAATTAAGCCCAAGAGGTTTTAAAGAGACTGAAAGCCATAGGTTCATGGCCTTAGGTGGACGATGATAATTATTATTATTAATTCCGAACAACGTTATTGTCATATCATACAGAACAAAACTATGTAATAGTTTCGTAAATGCATTCTTACGGTCATGAGTTTTCATCTGCTTATTTATCCGGGTGAATTTCGGATCATAATTTACGTGTTAACTTTGATCTTTTGGGTTAAAACGCATATAATTTTACAACAGAATCATAAAGCACATAAAAACGTTGTTTCTATCTAAGCCCTGATATGTGTAATTTTCAAACATCATTCTCTATAAGGTGATTACGGCTTTACAGTGGTTACTGAAGAAATTTAAAGTTTTTAACTCTTTGCTTGAAGTTGAACGACCGTTATTTAATCAGTCCAGTGTTTTTATACGTGCTGGTTAAAACGCCACTAAAAACATTTCCACTGTGCAACATAATGGTAATCGATGCTCGATTTTTCCATTTCACAGTTTGTGGGGTTTTATTTTTTGAGTTGTGTACTTGGTACAACCTGACGCAGATGCTACAGTTGTCATGGCTCTCGAAAAAATCTTTAGTCAGACGCAACTTGGAGAAGGAGTGCACATTAAACGTTCTGGAAACGACGATAGGAAAAAGAGTCAACGGGATTCTATCATAAAAAATAAACATAAACGATTATTATTCAGCAACTTAAATTAAAAATGTAACATGTCAATTATAATTATTAACTAAAAATCTACTTAAATGTATGCTATTAAAACTATTCACCGTTTTCAAATTTTGTAGTCCGTATATCTATTTTTTAATATCAGAATGGATAGCTTATCTATCTTTACAAAATTAAGTTTAATACTTACCAAGTAATAACTTTTTTTTTATTTTTATGACACATTGTTAATTTATATCAACAGATATGACTATAAATATTTATGACTGATTTTATTTTTAGTGCTATTCTCACAAGGTGAACTTGAAAATGCAAGTTTTTACAGATGAGTAGTCAAACACTTTCGGCGTCATCGCCCTCATAGCGTAGTTGTTAAAACGTCTGGGTAGTACTCGGAAGACGCAGATTGAAATCCACGTAGCACTGATAGCTTTTGACCTATAAAAAAATCATAATTTAAAATTTTCTAACATACCGGTTTGATTAGACGTACAAATATGCAAGATTAACGAAAGGTATATTTCGATAATAAAAATGAAATTTTGATGAAGCCAGTGCAAACTTTAACCCCTCAAAGACAACACACAAGATTTAGCTACCTTAATATAAATAAAGTAACAAATCCCTTTTTTAATTAGAATTTGTAAATAAAAATTAATTAAACTAGTTAAAATTCTATTGCGTAATGTTTTATAAGTTTCATTCTTATAAGTATGAGGCAATTTCATTTTAAACAATGAAAACTAGAGGTTCAATCACACTCAATGAGATAAAATTCTCGTATCGAAACACTCACTATCTCTCTGGATTCATTGTGTTTTTTAACAAAATAGATAAAACCGGTCCATCTCGTGAATAATCACGGGTCGAACATTAAATATGATTTATGTTTGTTATCGATATTGAACTAAACTTGCTATTTAAGAAAAACAAACTTCTTATCGAAAGGAAAACTTTAAAAAATAAACGAATAGTTGTTTCTAGGCGAGTGCGATACGACGAAATCATAGACTGTAAACAATATGTAGTGTTAAGTGTAAACATAATTAAGGATTCGAAATTATAATTAAGTTCCACTAATAATTACGTTCTTACATTCAGCCTATCTGCAGGAGCTCGGACCTTACAGATGATTTTTTGTAAAAATAAATTAAAAAAATTTGATAAAAATGCGAACATTTACTAATCGGTCAGAATTCTCGCCGAAGCTCAGACTATAGTAAAGATTCTGTAGTCATGTAATCGTTCTCAGTATTTATGTCTCTAATCTTTTTTCCTTTTACATCTGAATTGTTTTTATTATTACATTTGCATGACACTTGAGACGCAGAATAAAAAGTATTGGACAAAAAAGAGCCAATTTGATATTTTTCTTGTATTCAGGTATCTTAACGTATCAATATGTACTTTTTGTATTTTATAGGTATCTTCATTTTTTTATTTTAATTTTAATTTGCTATATTGATATTCAAATGTATAATTTAGTATGTAATGACTTAATGTAAATAATAATGTAAATCTTATAAAACCTTTATAAAACCTTAAATTATACCTTTTTATAAAACATCACAAGATAGTATAATACCAAGTCGTCCTGCTGCCTGTCTGGACCTATGTATGCTTAGATCTTTAAAACTATGTAATGAATCTTGATGCGGTTTTTTTGGGAGATAGAGAGAGAGAGAGAGTAAGAGTAAGAGTAAGAGTAAATATAAATCTGTAACAATGTATTTTCAGTGTAGTTAGTTGTAGTGCAGACATATCGGTGGTAGGGACACGCCGCAGCCTCGGCTGTTGCACGAATGGGCAAGTCCGTCCGGGTAAGTACCACGACCTCACAGAAGACCGGCGTAAAGTGGAAGTATGACAAATACTTTCGCGTTTCGTCTGGTGAGTGAGGTAGCTGGAGCCCAATTTTCAAAAGGTTGTCAACGCATCTGTAACACTCGGCTGTAACAGATGTCCATGGGCGGCGGTATTCACTTAACATCAGGTGAACCGTCAGCTCGTTTGGCAACTTTTCACACATAAAAAAAGTTATTACGCGCTTACGCTGTGTTTACGCTGCTAGGGTAGTTACAAGACACAGGCACGCACGCACGCACGCACGCACGCACGCACGCACGCACGCACGCACGCACGCACGCACGCACGCACGCACGCACGCACGCACGCACGCACGCACGCACGCACGCACGCACGCACGCACGCACGCACGCACGCACGCAAGCACGCAAGCACGCAAGCACGCACGCACGAGAGGGGGGGGAGATAGAGAGAGAGAGAGTAAGAGTAAATAAAAATGCTGTAACAATGTATTTTCAGTGTAGTTAGTTGTAGTGCAGACCTCACCACCAATCGTCTCACTTAATTAATTAATTAGTACTTAGACACTAATTAGTATACAAGTGGCGTTTATACTAATTCATTAATAACTGTGAATGTTTAAAGGTGATTTGAAAACTTTATTTAAAGTTTTATTAATGATAATGGAATTTGTGATATAACCATATCAAACAAAATGTTTCACATTTTTGTAAAAAGTTTTTGACAATCATATTACAATTTTCACTTTGGGGTTGGTCTTGGAATGTATATGTATATTTATTATTGAATATTAAAAAATACTGACCACAAAAGTAATGCTAGTTAGTAGTTACAATATAAAGACAGCACACATTTGAATTAATATTAAAGACTTTTATCGGGAAAATTTAAAATTTAATCAAAATTTAAAATTTAACCAGTACAAAACCTTGGAACAGTCTAGATAAATTGCTTCTCGCTCTGTTTGACCTGAATATAATGCTTAAAATTAATGAATTGTCGATGGAGCGTAATTTGCATTCCGGCCCCTTTTTAAACGAGAAATGGAATTTTGACGGCATCGTACGTTCCAGAATATTGCTTTTTATTTCTAATAAAGCGTTTTTTCCTTTCAGACTAACAACATTTTGTAATCGAAGAATAAAAAAGTTGACTACACGACCGCTGCATATTGGACAATATTGATTTACAACTTGTCGTAAATATACCAGCAACTTATAATAATGGCACTCTCTGTCGAACGTTCTATAGAATTATCCTGCGTTGAGAGTCAACAGTATATTATAGTATGCGTGTATCGACCCCCCTCCGGTGATTTCGACCAGTTTGAGTGTGTCATGGATGATGTCCTTAAGAAACTGTGTTTAACTAGTAAATCAGTCATAGTTTGTGGAGATTTTAATGTGGATTTATTACAAGTAACACAACTTAGTAAGCGGCTTTTAAATTTATTTAATTCATTCAAACTTAAAAATCTTTTTTATGAACCAACTCGTGTTACTAACTTATCCTCCACATGTATCGATAACGTTTTCTGTCACAATGAAGTATATGACAAATCTATTATAAATTATCTGAGCTCTGATCATCTTGGTTTAAAATTTTCAATAAATGAAAACATTACTACAAGTGAAATTAAGATCAGGTGTAGACCAGTCACTGCTAGGAGACTAAATTCTTTTAAAGATAAAGTAGCACAGCATGTATTCCATAAAGATATCGGAGTCAATAACCCTAATGATTGTTATAGATCAATGGTTGATTTTCTCATCAACTTCCTATAATCATATTTTTAAACCCCGCACAATTGTTAAAAAATCAAAATTAAAATTTAGTGACTGGGCAACAGTGGGTATATATAAAAGTAGGGATTCACTGTATGAATTATATAATATGAGGCAGTGGAATCAAGACCCTAATTTCCATAAACGGGTACAAAATTTTTCAAAAATATTTAAAAAAGTCTGTATACATGCAAAATCTATCTACATAAGAAATAGGATTTTAAATTCTAGTAATAAAATAAAAGCTACATGGGACATCATTACCTGTATATCTGGAAGACCCAAGATATTCAGGGAACCTATAAAGCTAGTGATAGGCAATACACCCATAACTTCAGATAACGAAATTGCAAGTAGTTTTGAAAGTTATTTTTCAGAAATTGCAATTAATGTTACATGCACGTTAAAATCCTCTCCCATTGATGCAATTAATGTATTAAAAAATAATGTTACCTATTGTCGACAAACGTTTAAATTTAATCACATAGATACTAATGATATTATAAAGGTTTTGAATTCTATTAATCTAAAAAATACAGGAGATTTGTGGGGCATGTCCATAAAATTAATGAGTACAATAATGCCGTATATTGCACCATATTTGGCAAATATTTTTAACAAATGTATAGATTCTAGAATATTTCCAGATCTTATGAAATTCAGTAAGATAATCCCCGTTTTCAAAAGTGGGGATAAAAATGATCCAGGAAATTACAGACCTATCTCCATATTGCCATCTCTGAGTAAAATTTTTGAAAAAACTAATTTTAAATCAACTCTTAGTACATTTTAATATGAACAAAATTTTCCACAATGAGCAATATGGATTCACTAAAGGCAGATCGACAACGGATGCGG